TCCCTCTCGTGTTTGGTATTTTTGAGACATGGTCTCACTATGTAGCTCTGACTGTCCTGGAACTCACTGTGGAGATCAGGCTGACTTTGAACTCACAGAAATCCACCTGTCCCTGCCTCCGAAGTACTGGGATTAAAAGGTGTGAACTTCCACGCCTGGTTCCACCTTAGATTTTGGGACAGTGTCTACCACTGAATTTGGAATGCTTCAGTTCGACTGTCTCTCCTCCCCGTCTCCGTTGGTTACAGATGCATGCTCCCTGGCTGACTTTTACGTGGGTGCTAAGGATCTGGACTTCTGCTCTCCTGCTGCCAGCAGGCACTTTGCTAACCGAGCAGCTTCCGGGGTCGTTTTTGGTTGTTGAGGGCCAAGTGCAGTGCTGCTGGCTCCTAAGCGGCTAACGGTTCACAGCAGGGCCCTAGCGGAGATGGTCCTGCCACCAGGGCTGAGGACGGGCAGTGGGCTGGAGAGGAGGCGGCTCAGCAGGAAGGAGCTTCGCTCCCTGCTCTGGAGGAGGACCCAGCCCCCACCTGGCAGTTCATAACCCCTGCAGCGCCAGTCTCAGGGGCGCAGACACTCTCTCTGGCCTCCGTCAGCACCAGACACACACACAGCGCACACGCTTGCATGGGGGCAAAACAGCCACCCACAAATAAAGTCAGGGAGCCTCTCGGTGAGACTGCGTGAGAAAGACTCCGTCCTGATTGTGTGCTGTGGGACGTGCTCGCTGAGCTGTCGTTTGGGTTTGCACCGCTCTCTGCACATCTGGGATGCATCAAGGAGATTAAAGATGCTAAAGGTTTTCATCAGAGGTCACTGTGTTGTGCACTTTGAAGAGGTTGTTCCAAGGACAGAAAGCACTTCTGTGCACAGCACACTGGAAGCCACCCCAGTCAGCCTGGAAAACTAATTGTTTCCTTCAAGTCTGGGTGCAGACAGTCACATGACTTTCAGTCGGGGGTCAGACGGACCTGAGGCTGGAGGAGGAGATGGAAGGACGCACTGTGGACCCTTTCCAGCTTCACTCTCTGTGTGTTGAGACTTTTCTTTGCAAGTGTTTGTCCTGGCATTCCTCTGTGTCCTCAGTTCCACAGCAACTTTCCAGTGTGCAGGTCAGAGCCGTCACGTATGTACCCGTGACGCTGAGCTCACTGTTTAGTTTCCACATATTGAATACTTCAGGGGACATGAAGAAGGAAATGTGTGCTGTGATTACTCCTGTGCGCAGATGGTCCAGCTGGAGGTCTGTGGGGTCATCAGATCCCTAGGGCGGGGAGCCGGCACCCCAGAAAGAGGCTGATGTATAACTGAAAAGCTTTCAGCCCTTCTCATTTCTTCCTCCATCTCCCCTGTCTCTCTCTCCATCCTCCTGTCCCCTCTTCATCCTCTCTCTCCCGTCTCTCTCTCTCCATCCTCCTGTCCCCTCTTCATCCTCTCTCTCCCCTGTCTCTCTCTCCATCCTCCTGTCCCCTCTTCATCCTCTCTCTCCCGTCTCTCTCTATCCTTCTATCCCTCTTCATCCTCTCTCTCTCTCTCTCCTCCTGTCTCTCTCCATCCTCCTGTCCCCTCTTCATCCTCTCTCTCCCGTCTCTCTCCATCCTCCTGTCCCCTCTTCATCCTCTCTCTCTCTCCTCCTATCTCTCTCTCTCCATCCTCCTGTCCCCTCTTCATCCTCTCTCTCCCGTCTCTCTCCATCCTCCTGTCCCCTCTTCATCCTCTCTCTCCCCTGTCTCTCTCTCTCCATCCTCCTGTCCCCTCTTCATCCTCTCTCTCCCGTCTCTCTCCATCCTCCTGTCCCCTCTTCATCCTCTCTCTCTCTCCTCCTATCTCTCTCTCTCCATCCTCCTGTCCCCTCTTCATCCTCTCTCTCCCGTCTCTCTCCATCCTCCTGTCCCCTCTTCATCCTCTCTCTCCCCTGTCTCTCTCTCTCCATCCTCCTGTCCCCTCTTCATCCTCTCTCTCTCTCTCCTCCTGTCTCTCTCTCTCTCCATCCTCCTGTCCCCTCTTCATCCTCTCTCTCCCCTGTCTCTCTCTCTCCATCCTCCTGTCTCTCTCCATCCTCCTGTCCCCTCTTCATCCTCTCTCTCCCTCCCCTGTCTCTCTCTCTCCATCCTCCTGTCCCCTCTTCATCCTCTCTCTCCCGTCTCTCTCCATCCTCCTGTCCCCTCTTCATCCTCTCTCTCCCCTGTCTCTCTCTCTCCATCCTCCTGTCCCCTCTTCATCCTCTCTCTCTCTCTCCTCCTGTCTCTCTCTCTCTCCATCCTCCTGTCCCCTCTTCATCCTCTCTCTCCCCTGTCTCTCTCTCTCCATCCTCCTGTCTCTCTCCATCCTCCTGTCCCCTCTTCATCCTCTCTCTCCCTCCCCTGTCTCTCTCTCTCCATCCTCCTGTCCCCTCTTCATCCTCTCTCTCTCTCCTCCTGTCTCTCTCCATCCTCCTGTCCCCTCTTCATCCTCTCTCTCCTCCTGTCTCTCTCTCTCCATCCTCCTGTCCCCTCTTCATCCTCTCTCTCCCGTCTCTCTCTATCCTTCTATCCCTCTTCATCCTCTCTCTCCCTCGTTTTCTCTCTCCTTTTCTTGCCTGACTGAATCAGTGAACTCAGTTTTTATGAAGTACTTACTTACACAGAGGGGGAAAACAGTTTGGCAGGAAAAGGGGAAGGAAGAACAATTTAGATGCAAAATCCTATTGCCCCAAAGTTCAGCTGTTGACAGAAAATAAGCAGTTTTTCAAGAGAATCGTGTGTGATATGTTAGGAAGACACACAAAATATTTCACTCTTGTGGTAAGCTTATATTAGTTGCAGCTGATTAACTGTGATTGTTTAATTTGAGGAGCTCTTTACCGTTTGCTTGTTTGTTTGTTTGTTCTTAACTGCCGGTGAGTGTTCTACATCGGCATTTATTTGACTTTCATCCCTGCCTGGTTTGAGAGGAAAGCACTGTCTCTTGACCATCGGTTTACAGCATTGGTGGTGTCCTCCACATTGCAGAGTCAGTCAGGGTCAGGGCCTGCTGAGACTGTGTGTGTCAGTCACTGCAGAGTCAGTCAGGGTCAGGGCCTGCTGAGACTGTGTGTGTCAGTCACTGCAGAGTCAGTCAGGGTCAGGGCCTGCTGAGACTGTGTGTGTCAGTCACTGCAGAGTCAGTCAGGGTCAGGGCCTGCTGAGACTGTGTGTGTCAGTCACTGCAGAGTCAGTCAGGGTCAGGGCCTGCTGAGACTGTGTGTGTCAGTCACTGCAGAGTCAGTCAGGGTCAGGGCCTGCTGAGACTGTGTGTGTCAGTCACTGCAGAGTCAGTCAGGGTCAGGGCCTGCTGAGACTGTGTGTGTCAGTCACTGCAGAGTCAGTCAGGGTCAGGGCCTGCTGAGACTGTGTGTGTCAGTCACTGCAGAGTCAGTCAGGGTCAGGGCCTGCTGAGACTGTGTGTGTCAGTCACTGCAGAGTCAGTCAGGGTCAGGGCCTGCTGAGACTGTGTGTGTCAGTCACTGCAGAGTCAGTCAGGGTCAGGGCCTGCTGAGACTGTGTGTGTCAGTCACTGCAGAGTCAGTCAGGGTCAGGGCCTGCTGAGACTGTGTGTGTCAGTCACTGCAGAGTCAGTCAGGGTCAGGGCCTGCTGAGACTGTGTCAGGTGTCTCTGCTGGGCAGCTGTGCGACCTGTGAGACACTTGGTAGCTTCTTGTTGCTGTCATAACCTGGCTCAGGTGTCTCACGCCCCCGAAATCTGCAGTAGCAGGCCTGCCCTGTCTGGCTTTGTGCGGCTCTTTGGCCTGTTGCATGCAAGTCCAGTCTTTCTCCATCTCTGGCCTTTCCCGTGTCGAGGAAGGACCCTTGTCACTGGCTCTAGGGTCCTCCTGGGTTACCCACAGAGTCTTCATCTTGAGACCCTTCTTCGAGTCTGTGAATTGATTACTTTCCCCAGACAGGGCCATGTTGGCAGGTTCTCATGGTTGGATGCAGGCATTCCTTGCTGAGGGTCACTGCTCAGCTCCCTGCCCCATTGCCCGTCTGTCTTTCAGCTGTTTGTCCCAGGCATCTTTGATCTCTGTCTTCCGGGGTGCGGTGTCCTCAGTAGTTACTAATAAGTGTTTACAGGTTTAAAATGTGACTTTGTTTTTAAATGGCCCAAATTCATGCCTGGATGAACCAAGCATCCTACCTGGGTCCAGACATGCGTGTCCTGCGCTTGGCTCAAACGAGTGTGTGGCGGGTGCATGGCCACAGACACTCAGCCTCTCCCGGCAGACTCTTGCTTCTCATTAATGCCGGGCCACCTAGAAATCCGAGGAAGAGCGGCTGTGAGCCGGCCTGTCATCCTGGGTGTTCGTCTGGGCTTCAGTTACCTTGAGAAATGGTCTCAAGTATTAGTTCCCAGCAAGGTAGACATGCCTCCACTGAATCGACCCCTTTTGACCTTTGCTAACTCAGATGCCTTCTTAGAGAGAAAACAATTGAGACGGGCTTTAGAGACAGGGAGAAAGGTGGAATAGTAACAAGCTTGCTCTTATCTGAATCTCCAAACTGACTGAGCTGTAAAGCGCGGACAGTCTCGGGCTGCACCCTGTTTGGAGTCATCAGCGTGGGGCAGAGGAAGGTGCGCTCAGGGTTGGTCAGGGAACCCCTCACCAAGAAGCTGAGGTTCCAGGCAGCCAGGCTGCTAACTCTGCCACCCTGGGTGGGCCACTTAATTTCTCAGGCTGTCAATCAAGTTTCCTGGGGGTTCTGGAAGCCAGCTGGGCGGGGCCAGTGGTTCACACTGTGCTAGCGTCCTGTCCCGGGTACTCCCTCTTCTAGCCCCTTCTCTAACACAAGCCTCACGGCTCTCTTTGTGATTTGCAACTGAGTTGGCTGGGGATACACCTCAGGGTGGAGCATGCGCACCCCGTGCATGCGCTGGGCCCCGGGTTCAAGTCCCAGCACGACAGAAAGACAGAAAGGCAACAGAGACTGGGTTTGCTTCAGAATGAAGAATGGCTCTGGTTTCTCTCACCCACCTGCTTGCAGCGGAAAGCTCCAAGGAAGTGAAGGTTAAAGAAGAGCCCATGGAGGTGGACGCCCAGGACGCCCCTGTCTCCATATCACCCAGCCGGAACATTGGCTACAGCACTTTAATGGGTCGAGAGAAAATTGAACCCTTACAGAAGCTTCCCGAAGGTAGAGTTCCCCCGGAGAGAAATCTCTTCAGCCAGGACATCTCTGTGAAGATGGCTTCTGAGCTTCTCTTTCAGCTCTCAGGTAGGCGAACTGGGAGAGGTGAACTGTGGGAAGTGCTGCTGACTGGGAAGCGTTGGCCGTAAGCCCTTCTTGGGAAGGGGGAAGTGACCCACCCGATAGGGTGTTCTGCAAGGATCTGCCTTGTGACCACCACGCTAATGGTTAGTGAGGGTTTGCCACGTTGGACTCCTACCTCATTTAAAGATAATGGTTGTTAGGATGTTATTTATGTAGCGGTCAGGCGTCAGCTTTTGAAAGCTGCTTGTCTCCCCACCACATGGATCCCAGACCTGAACTCAGGTCATCGTGCCTGGCGGCAAGCCCCCTTTCCTGCGGAGCCCTCTCCCTGCTCCACGTCGTCTTCAGCATGGCTGGGAGTCACAGTTCTGTGCAGTTCCCTGGCGCTCCCTTTGACCAGGCTCAAGCATGCCCCTCTGGGAAGGTTTAGTGTTGATCTTATTAACAGCCCTTTCTTTCTAATGTGAGAAAGATAAACTTCCACATCCTCCAAGAGAGCCTTCATTGCTGGGGAAAGTCATTGTCTGAATTAGTGAAATTTTTGCTGTATCTTGCCAAAAAATATTTAAAAAGAGAAAAGCAAAAAGTAGAAGCATGAAGGCGGTCTCCAGCTGTGGTCTAAGACGGTGTCTTTGTAGATCAGTCTCTCTTCCTTCAAATGCTTGGAATCCAGATGTGCAGGTGTCCAGCCCTGTGAGGGCCAGGCACCTGAGCTGTGCCTTCCGTCTGTTCTTCCAAGCTTCTACCGTTGCGGTGACTGCTACGCCCTGAGCGTGAAGACTGGTTTTGCGTACTTACAAGACTGGTGTTCTGGCAGACACACATAACCCTCATCTGGGTCTTTCTGAAGTTTGATAGAGTAGACGCCCCTACATCCCTGTTACATACGGCCCTTGTCCTAACTCTTAGACACAGACAGGAAAAAAGCTGACGTCTGTGCCACCGGATGGGTCCCCTTCTCCTCGGCCTGGTGAAGTCTTCACAGCACTGTGGCTGTCCATGCTGTGATTCTCTCCAGTGGTGGAGACCACTAACTCAGTAAGCTTTGAAGATCTTGACTAGTGGCGTTTCTTTTCCCAAGGCCAAGCAAGGCACGTCTCCACACAGATCAGCTGAGGCCAGGCAGGCCTGTGTGGCTCTGACACGCTCACAGCCTGGATGACCCCAGACAAGTCATCCTGCCCAGGTTGCATGCTGGCTAGCAACCGTGGATTCTGGCAGGCAATCCAAATTCTCCCGTGGTGTCACAGTTGAAAGGAGAGAAATGAGGTGTCCACGTAAACACACATGACTTAGATTCTCATCAGTCAAAGGCAGGTAGGAAAGATGTGTAAATCACTTACATTTTACAAAAAGTCTTCAAGATGAGATTTTTTTTCCCTTTTATTTACCTGGTTGTAAATTCTGAAACCCTGTAAGGTTGGCCAGGTTTTTGGCAAATGCTTCAAAAAAGCCATCGAGAGCTGTGATGGTCAGGGCAGAGTCCTCACATTTGTACTGGGTCAGCGAGGCTATGGTTCAACTTGGTGTTCTTGAAAGCTAATTAAATAACTTGTGACAGCTGGTGGATACAGACCCCAGGATGCACGGAGAGAGGGCTTACCTCTTGTCTAATGACATTGTTCTGTTCCTGCTGACATTTATTAGAATAAGCCGTCCATGACAGCACCAAGAGCTCTCTGGCCATTCTCTGAAGAAGCCTGACAACACAGGCTGTCATCAGAGCTAGGGGCAGGACAGTTACCACAACTGCAGTTGCAGGACTTCACTGAAGAAAGGGGAAACAGCACCTGTTTCTGTGCACCTAACGTGTGTGCGTGTTTGGGTGTGTGCTATGGACTCAAACTTACTGAGGCCTAGTTACAACCAGGCAGCAACCAAACGTAACTCACTAGTTCTGTTTGGCCAGTGTTTAATAGTTTTGGGGATGTGTCTAGATGCTTTTGACTTTCCTAATAAGATAGAAACTGGGTGCTTTTGCCTAAAAGGCGTCAGTGGACCGAGCTTAACACGGATGTGTTTCTTTCTGTCTCCTTACAGAAAAAGTGAGCAAAGAGCACAGTCACACGAAGGACAACACCATCCGGACGACCACCAGGTAGGGACACTGTGCTTGTCACCTCTGTGCCTGGTGTGCTCAGGCCTGCTTCACCCCTGCGCTGGCTGCTGCTCCAAAGACCCCCAACTCAGAGGAGCTGAGCCTTCTCAGCGTCTTCTCCCAGAATTCCCAGCGGTTGAGAACAAGACAGACTCCTAGGATAAACAGAGAGACAAACCTTAATACTTACTAGACGTCTACAAGGAAAGGGTCAGCTTGCCGGGGAAATTCCATATGGCGCTGTTTTTCATTCCTTACAATAATTTTATGAAGTAGGTGTTCTTATCACCTTTGCAAGGGCTTGTTTATTTTCTTACCTTTCGGTCGTTGGATCTGAACCCAAGGCCTCTCCCATGGTGAGTGAGGTATTGCGTTGTGTTGCGCTGCTGAGCTGCGTCTCCAGCGCGCAGCGGTGGCTGCACCTGAGACTTTAAACTGGGGTGCAGTGTGGAGGAGGCTGTCTGGGGTTTGGAATCCGGGGCTCCTGTGGCATCGCCCTGGCTCTGCAGCTGTGAACTCACGGCTGTCCCACCATTGTTAACTTGCTCTAATTTTAAAGCACACACAAGACAGTGCTTTTTAAAAGTTGCAAGACGCTGAGTGAAGCGGCTCAGTGGTAGAGGCACGCGCTGCCGAGTCCGACCACTGAGTTCTGTCCAGAGAGAGTCGACACTAGCAAGTTGTCCTCTGACCTCTGTGTTCATGCTCTGACACGCCCACCCCATAAACAATCAGATAAATACCTTTCTTTAAGTTGCAAGAACTGGGCACCATGCTATAGTCCTTAGTCCCTACTGTTGGGAGCTAAGGCAGGAAAACTGCTTGAGCCCAAGCTTTAGGCAGCTAAGACAGCGTAGTGAGACCAAGTCTTTACGAAGCAAAGCAGGAAAATGCATCTGAATTACATTGCAGGAAGAGCATTTCCCACGTGGCACGGCTGGTCATTGGTCACCAGTGTGGGTTGCCCACCATTCTGCCGTCAGGAAGAATGGAGGAACAGTCAGTATGGCTGCTCACACAAAGCCGTGGAGGAACCCCCCCACTCTCCCAATAAAAAGGTGAGGTAGGTCAGGGGTAGCAAGCAAATCTACAGAAAGGGAGCTTAGGGAAGACACTCTCTCCCTGTGTGGGACACTCCCCACCCTTAGCTTGCCTCTGACCTGGCCCAAGAGCAGAGCTGTGTGGGGAACCAGAGAGACATGAGTTTATGGGATGGACAACCAGGAAACTGGTTCAGTCAGGAGTCTGCTTTCCTGGGTGAGCAGAGCTGGGTTCTTGTGACTCATTGGTTGACTGGTTTGTGTTTTAATTCTTTGTATGTATGTATCTGTGTGTGTTTATGTGGTTTTACATGTGTGCACGTGTGTGGAGGCCACAGGGCGACCTTGGAGTAGTTCTTCAAGTGCTTATTTGTGAGACAAGGTCTCTCTTTGGCTTAGATCTCTTTAATTTGGCTTCTGGAGGATTGAGCTCACATCCTCAATGCAACAATTTTACCAGCTGAGCTATCTCCCAAACCCTGTGCTTTCAACTCTTGAAACAAATGTTAAATGAACGATGTTCTTTTAGACATGCTATGAATTGACGTCATTGCACCACCAGGAATAGACAGAACTCTCTTGGATTTTAACCTGAGGTTTTCTTTTCTGTTCAGTTCAGGGGGATTCAGAATACTGGATGTCAAAGAGAAATGAACACAAAGTCAGCTAGCCTCATCCTAGGCTTCATAGTGCTAGGGGAAGAGCACCTTTGTCCTAGAACAGAAGATCGACAGCCCTTATCTCTGAATGGTCAGGGATGGACAGCTAGTCTTGTGAAAATGGTCCCTAGATTGTCTTGGGAAAGGAGCCTGGGTGGGAAGCCTATTTTGTTCATGACATTGGATGCCTCAGCAGGATATTTGAGCTTTTATAGATGCTAGCTTGCTGCCTTCATGGCATCCTAAGTCTGTCTGCAGTGTCCTGGAGTCCGATGGTCACCCAGTGACAACAAACTGATACCACATGCTCGTTTCACGTTGCTTCCGTGGGATTCTTGAAAGTCATAGCTTGGGTCCCTAAAGTGGAGCGTGAGCAGGTGCTTTAATGAGGAACTGCTTTCGGATGGAGGGGATGAGGGTGGTCTGAGGGGGTGGGATCTGTGGAGGTTGTGGTTTTTGCTGGAGCTCCCTTTAGCTCAGTCTCCTAGGGAGCCCTGGAGTAGGAGGTGAGCTACAGAGTCCAGGCTGCTTGCAGTGTACCCCAAAAGCTGTGTTTCCCAGTGGAGGCTCCCACTGGAGGGATTGTCACTAATGTGTAGAAGGAAGGAGCTAGGCAGGCAGGCCCCAGCAACATTCCCAGTGAGGCTGCTAGATCCCGAGGAGTATATGCTAAATACTTACATTACAGAAAGGTGTGTGAGACCATGTCATCTGTGCTTTTCACAAGCCCTGGGAAGAGGGAGGAGGGCTGAAATAGGCCTCTAGTCAAAAATGTGTTGGCTGGAACTGAAGCATAATTACAGTTAGAAGAGATTTTTATCTTTAAGCATTCAGCAAAAGTGAATCAATCGTAATTTCTTCTCTTGCTGGGAGATTATTATAAGGAAGAAAAAACCAACTCAGATCTGCCTGAAGCCAAGGAAAAGTTGCTTCATGGGAGCCCCGACCAGACACAGTGTTCAGAAGCCAGGATTGGACACCACGGTTTATAATTCCACAAAATCCTGGGTGTGTTTTTATTTATTATTATTTAGAGACACTTTGGCCAAATCCGCAAATTGATTTCTTTTTCACCCCTTACCTCATGGCTTGAAGGGGAGTCAAACTGGTCCAACAAATTGTCTCTCACCACGGACAGTAGAAGATGACAGCTCTCTGGGTCTCCCTTTCCAATCCTTTACTGCTTTAAAGGTCCTTATTTTGTATATACAAGGTCAGGATATGGGCTATATTATAGGGTATGATTTGTCAAAACCTTCAAATAGATTTCATTAGCTTCATTTTCATGTCTCTGTGTTTTTGAGTACTTAGTGGGATGTTTGTGTAGTTACTTTTTTGAGTCAGGGTCTTACCATATAACTTGGTTTGACCTGGAACTTTCAATCCTCCTGCCTCAGCCTCCCAAGTGCTGGAATAATAGGGGTGCAGCACCCCACTTGGCTCATTTACCCCATTTCTAGTGTTTATTTCCTGGAAGAAGCTAACAGTTTAGAACAATGACTCACCACTGGACTCCAGAAGTTTCCACCTTCAGGAGTTCCTATGTAGTTTAACTATGAAGAAAAGCCTGGGCATGGGCTGTCTGCACACTACAGAAACAGCCTTCCTATGCCTCTCTCATATCGTGGATGCCCATGCTTTTCTACTTGGATGTCTCCTAACCCTGAAATGTGGGTAGTTACAGGACATGCTGGGCAAAGAGACACACTTTGAAGAAAGTTGCCGGTGCCTTCCTGTCCTCCATAGCTTCCCCCCACATATGGTTATCACGATCGATTCTATGTCCATTCCATCCACAGGCCTGTGCAAGAGCATAGTCGTCCCCAGGGAAACACACTGTGGCTCGCCATGCCCACCGGCCCTCCTGAGAGGCCCGGGCCGATTCCCACGCCTGACGTTAGATGCTCACGGCGCCCCTGGGCTGCATGCCCTGCACTCTCAACCTGTCCAGTTGGCCCTCCTTCCAGCCACAGCGTGCCTCTCCCCCATGCCCCTGCTGCAAAGCAGCCGACACTAAAGACTGAGGCTAACCATTAGAAAGTTCCTGGGTTCATTCGTTTGTTTCTTATACCTCTCTGATGGAGAATTTCAAAGCTACGCAGGGGTGGAGGGAGGGGCCAGTTACCATTTAGACTGCTGTCAGTTCCCAGCCTGCGCTGCGAAAGCTGCTCCATTCCCTCTGTCACCTCCTTCCGCAGATTCCTTTGAAACAATTCTAGGCACCAGATTGCATGTGTGTGAGCATGATCCCCTGTGCACGCACAGCACCGTTTCTTCCTCTATTGCTGTCCACCTAAGCTTTTGAGACAGTGTTTCTGAAATCTAGCCAATTAATTGCCCAGCAGTCCCCCCAAATTCACCTGTCCTGTGCCTTGCAATCATGACAGATACTGTTCCCCCACCCTTTGTTTGTTTTATAAGTGTCTTACTGTGTAACTCCAGCTGTCTTGGAACTCACAGTGGAGACCAGGCCCGCAACTCACAGAGAGCCGCCTGCCTCTGCCTCTAGAGTGCTGGGACTAAAGGAGCACGTCACTGTGCCTTCACTGCTTTGGCTCTTACCTGGGTCCTGGGAACACAAACTCCCTGTACGGCGAACACTTTCCCCTCTGAACCATCTCTCAGCCGCCTTTAGACTTCATTTGAAGAACTGATTTGGTTGCTTTTGTGTTTTGTCTTATTTTGCTGTGGTGCTGCTCTTGGAGCCTGTGGCCTCAGGCAAGCTAAACCAACATTCTACCTGTGAGCCACATCTCCAGCAAGAACCGGTCTGATAGTTCCAAATCCTGAGACCTCAGAATTAGCTGTGTAAATTAGAACCCCCTTCCCAAAAGTAAAGGTGAAAAATAACCCCATCAGATAGCCAGGCAGAAAAATCAATTTACTCAGCAGCTGGAATGACTGGGTCATGGGACGCAGCCTTGGCCCTGTCCCTCCGCCCTTGTGTGGTAAGGGCGCCTGCACTGAAGCAGCCTGTACATCCTCAAGCCACCATCTTTCCTCACGTTTAACCTTAAGAGTCTAGAATACTCAAGTGTAAAGAGGCCTGGAGGTCTCCTCTGGAGAGTGTCCTGGGTGTGCCTAATGCCATCTTCCTGACACACAACCCAGGAAGAGAATCCTTGCCAGACTCAATAGGACAGACCATGGATGAGTCCAATAAAACCCTAATTTGTTTAAAACTTCCTTTCCCAACACACCTAGTTTCTACAGGGAGCAGATAACTGGCCATTATGGCCATATGGTAGATGAAAACACATGAAGCATGATACCATAACCAGATTCCAACATTTAATAATAA